GCACATCAAGTGCAAGTAGATAAATAGGTACCATTCCGGCGGGAGGTAAACAGCGTTCCCGTGCGCTGTCCGCGTTCGCCAGAAGCGCTTTAGTCATGCTGGCCACATGACCCGGAAGCTGTATGCCGCCTTCCTCGGCCAATAAAGCGAGATGAGCAACCCCAGAGTCGGCCCACGACTGGACCAGTGGGCAGGTCCCTTTACCTTTACCTTACTGATGCACTTTTATAACCCTGATTTCTGCTCACTTGGCTCCCTGCTGCAGAGCCACCTTCCAACTTGTGGAAGGAAACAAAGGATAGGGATGGGCCATGCTCCTCCCCTCCTACAAAACATTAGTATAGTTTGTTGTTTTGGTTCTTCTGCAAGGAAAAGAACCGACGAGGTCAGTGATTTTTCCTACCTATCACTCTGACATCACGGGTGATGCGAAGCCCACTACGACTAATGAAACATTCCAGGTCCTTGGTCCTCCTGAGTTTAAGGTCTTTATCTGCAGCCCCGATCTTTATTTTGTAGAGTCCCCGCTTTTTTTGTATTTTGCTGTTGGGCAACCATCAACTGGTAACATGTCGAGAAGACAGTTCCAGTTGTGTAGTGTCACCCAGGAGTCTGAAGTCCTTTTACTATGAAGGGGGAGAAGCTATTAGTAATCTGTTTTTAGGGCTCTCCCTGTCCTTCCCCCAAGCAAGTGCAGAAGATGGACAGGGAACACAGGAATTACTTTATTCTTTTCACATATCAATAACTACACCCCACAGCCGCCGGTTTTTAATTTTTTTTTTTTCACCGCAAGGCAGTAAGGGGTGACATGGAAAAACTCTTCCAACAAGACATGGTTATCCAGGCTCACAGTACTGTCCTTCCTTTCCATATCTCATAGTTAAAGAGTAACTCCTTTTCTGCATTCTTAAACGAGAGTTGCTGACTGATGAGAGGAACCTTGAAAGAAGTGGAGTCACAGAGAGTTAAAGCTTTTCATCAGAGAGCAAAGGTCTGCCTTCCCTCTTTTAAACGCATAATGAATGGTACAACTGGATTTTACCTCTTAAAAGATGTCCACGCTGAATTTAATTATTCTTCTGATTTATATTTCCAGATCACTGGAGCGCTTGGGTTAACTACACCAACTTGGCAAGGAAGGGTAACTTCTTGCCCATAAGTAGCATCTATGTAATGCTCTTCACCCATGAAGCATCACACCTGAAAGATACACAGGCTCAAAAAACACAAAAACAAAACCACATGGAAAAGCAAAAACAGGTACAAGAATTCTCCCCTCCGCGCTGAATTCTGGGTTTCCCGGCCCAAAGCTTACAATTGAACACCACCTTTGGACTTTATAGCACCTTCATTTTCGTATATGCTTGCATTTGTGTTCTCTTTTCTTAATACCTTTTATTTAAGTGTTTCTTTATGTCCCTCAAGTGTCACTGGAAAATGCATCATTTGGATTTAATACTGAGAATTTGATCAACCCCCAGAATAAATAGGAGTACAAAGGACTGCCACAGTAATTCTAATTTCTGCAGGAGCTCTTACGTCTAGTTTTAAACCAAAGGATTGACCAGATTTGCGGCCAGCATGAAAACTTGCTTTTGAGTGCTGAAGTCAGCGTTACAGTAGATCAACGACTGTCAACCATATGGGTCACCCCAAGTCTCTGGAACCACAACAACTACTAAATCTGTTCCTGAAAATCTCTGCATTTTGCCTCCCTCCCAATTGTTACCAAGAGAAGGCAGCCTTCTGTGAGCAGGAGATATTGATCCCAGCAATCCGGTGCCAATTATAAAAGGGTGTCAGGTCTTTTTTGTAGTAACAATGTAGAGCAACAGTAAGAACACAGTATGGGCCATGGCAAGGGGGGAAATGGGTCATATGGAAATGGATCCTATGTGGACCAACACAGCTAGCTTGCTTTGCTTTTTCAGCTTTCATTATATTTCTAGTCAAAGCAAAACATCTTGTGTTTGGTGACTCTGGCACTATGTGTGCCTGCTGAAGAGAACTTACCCAGGTGAAGGACAAAGGAACAAGAATGCATCTCAAGATCATATCCATCGGTAGAGCTTTGCGTACTGCAGACTCGGTCTTCTGTCTAAGGGATCCAGCAGGAAAGGTCAGAAATCTTGTAGAAGAAGAAGAAGAGTTTGATTTGATATCCCCTAAGGAGTCTCAAAGCGGCTAACAATCTCCTTTTCCCTTCCTCCCCACAACAAACACTCTGTGAGGTGAGTGAGGCTGAGAGACTTGGAGAGAAGTGTGACTGGTCCAAGGTCACCCAGCAGCTGCATGTGGAGGAGCGGGGAAGCGAACCCGGTTCACCAGATTACGAGTCCACTGCTCTTAACCACTACACACACTGGCTCTCCTGATTGTATCAGTGAAGTCAGCAGTGGTTTCTTCCCTGAATAATCATACATAATATATAGACAGAAAATAGTCAACTGATTGATAATATGGCCTGGTGTGCAGTTAGTCATTTGGAAGCTGGTCCTCTCTATCAGGTAGTCATTATAGGTGATGTGTGGCTGCCAGTGATATCTGTTCAGCAAAGTAACTAGGGTGGTGCAACTGGTGTCCCAACACCAGCTGCAAGATTATGGTGGAGGTGCAAGATTTGCTGCCGCAACAGAATAATTATAATTTAAATATAATTTTCATACTTATTTCATTATGGGGGGGGGACCCAGAATTACCCACATTAATTAATAAAACCATTCCAAATAGTGAAACTAGACAGAGGGCCTTCTCGTAGTCGCCCCCGTGATGCGCCTCCCATCAGATGTCAAGGAAATAAGACATCTGAAGACAGCCCTATTTAGGGAAGTTTTTTAATATTTAATGTGGCATTGTTTTTAACACTCGATTGGAGACGCCACAGAGTGGCTGGGGAACTCAGCCAGATGGGTGGGTATAAATTATATTATATTAATCCCATTTGGTAATTTGATTTTTGATAGTGAAATAAATATGAATGGAATCTTTAAATGTATGAAATTTGTTCACGTTCTAATGGGACCCCTTTTGTTGCTTCTATTGTTCTAAATTATCATCCCTACGCTTCACTGGACCACAGATGCAAGGAATGGTTGTGAGACTCTGTTGCTTGCTGCCATATTTCATATTGAGGGCTATTTTGTCTATTTTTAAAAACAAGATACTGGGGCTCGGCTCGGGGAGCAGCGCTGCTCCCCCCGGCTCCCCTTCGCCCTCCCGGCTCTCTCTGCCGCCCACTGGGGACCCCCCTCACCTGCCAAGTCCGGAGCGCCGGTGGAAGTTGCATGCATGCATGCAGGGCGCCGCGTTGCCATTGCATTGCACTGCACTCCATGCAACGCCTGCACGCATGCATTGCCTTGCACGCCCGCCAAGGGGTCTCCCCGCGGTCCGATGCGTCCCCTCCGGCGCGGATGCAGCATTGCAAAAATAAAAAACCCCCGACGCAGCCCTACCTGGGGGGCAGCCTCCGCCTCCGCCGCTCCGCCTCCGCGGGGATCCCCGGCCTCCATCCTGCCGCCCGATCTCCGCGGGGGCGCAGGCAGGCTGCGCGGGATCTGCACGGAAGAGCCCCTGCCCGCTCATTCCATGGCCGGGAGAAGAGCGCTTCAAACAAAACGCCCGGCCCGCCAGGCCACGCTGGGAAACGTAGTTTGCGCACCCCGCGCGGGCGCGGAGCCCAAGGGCGAGGGGACTACGGATCCCGGCAGCCCCCGCGCCGGGGACGGAGGGGGAGAGGCCGGGTGCAGGGATGGAGGGACGGGTGGGCGAGCGAGTGAGTGAGTGGCCAGCCGCAAGCCTTGGCCGAGAGCCAGGAAGGGCTCCCCGGAGGAGGAGGAGGAGGAGGGAGGCGCAGAGATGGGAAGCGGAGGGAGGGAACCCCAGGGGTCATCTAGTGACGGCGCCCCCAATGCGAAAATTTGAACTTTTAAAAAAAAAATCTTTACAATTTTTTAATTTTTCCCGCGGCACACCAGGCAACATTCGCGGCACACTAGTGTGCCGCGGAACAGTGGTTGGGGAAACACTGATCTAAGGTTCTAGGCTGCCTGACTCACAAGAAAGGCTTCCTCCCCAATGGAAAGCCAAAAACACTTGGATCGACACCAGACTTGAGGTGCTACAGCTCATCGGCTTTATTTAGAGGGCCACAATGCAGAGGAAGTCAGTGTACACTGTCCATATTTGGGCCACCAGCTTATAATCCTGGGTTTGGCATATTGTCCTGGGTCCTTTTGCCACCTTCCAAACACACAAGCGGAGGCACTTTTAAGTGTGGCACACAAATGGTACCAAAGCAGCACTCTACTTTTTGCACTGGTTTGCAGTCACCCAGATAAGGTTGTGTTTCTGACCCTTTACATGTGACCCTGGTTTGAGTGTCAGTTTACTCCGTTGGGGGGTGGGAGCGGCAGGAAGGTGGGTCTGCAGCACAAAACAGCACCAAACCAATCAGGCAGCAAACCTGTCTTGGGCCTGGGCTGACCAAACCATCAAACACCCTCTCTACCAGTGCCGTTATTCCAATCCAAATCAAAGCACCCTTTAATTGCTTCAGAGTTTTTGTTTGTTTTGACCTCACGTCTATTTTTGCCCAAAGTTTTAGGAGTTCCCGGGAATTGTTTTGTTTTTTCAACCAGAAGTTTCACCAGGTCTAGATGGGATAGTTTTTGCAAGTGTGATATAAGCAGTGTTATGGTCCTTGTTTACACCATAACACAAAGTGATCGAGACTTATTCTTACCTTTCATCACTACCAAGCGGGTGGTCTTACTCAATTTCCTCCGTGTAAATGCAATACTGCACTTGTGCTCTCCAGCATGCTCAAACTGGACCTTGTCTATCGTTTGCTGAAGTAGGGAACTGTTGAAATTGATTAAGTCAGCCTCCACAATGGTCTTGTTATCCTTCGTCCATCTCAAAACTGGGTTTCTTAGATGTTCTTTGGAATCTCTTGGAAGTCAGTGTTCAGTTCACACGAAAGGACAACTGTGCTATTAACAAGCTGCATACATAACAGCTCCATCCAGTGAATTAGCAAAACCTGATTTTAAGGCAGAAAAAAACAGGAATAAATAATTTCCATTTTCCTCAGTAAAGAGTAGGGAGAAACTCTTTCCCCCCCTATAGAATTCTAGAGAGGCTTTACTTGTGAACCTATTTCTGGGTTCCCTAAACGAAGTAGACTCTGCAAAGAAAAAGCTATGAAAATGAAAAAGGGGGCTGCATCATCACCATCAAGTACTCAAAGATCTCTTCTCCAAAGTTTGGCAAATGCACCATTTAAAGGCAAGGGGGCCCGATGGTAACAGAAAATGGCACTGGAGTAATTAAGAAAGACTATTCAAGGGACAATTAAAGTCCTGCTCAACCCCCCAACCAGTAGTAATCAGTCAACAAGACGCAAGGAACATGCAGGACCAACTTTCCATTAAAGGTGCAAGTTTCCTGAAAGGCCTTCAAAACATTTTACTTGTCCACAGTGGAAAGAGAGGTTATGGAACTGAGTTTTATTGCAAAAAAACAACAACAAAAAACTGTCAAAAGAGAAGGAGTGGGGTGTGCGCAGAAAATGATCTGGCAACAATGTCTTCCGGATTATCCGTAAAAATAAGTGATTGAACAAATGATGGCGATTCCAGCCTTTAACTCAAACGGCCTGGAAGCATCACACAGTCACTACAATATCTTTTACGCTTCTCTTTATAATGTTGTACAACTTGGCAGAATTAACCATGATGCATAAGACCTCTTCAGGCTGTCCCCATCACCGTGAGTTGGGTGGTGACTGCCTGCAGTAGGGAAGCAGGTTTCGTTTTTTTAGGGGACGCGGGTGGTGCTGTGGGTTAAACCACAGAGCCTAGGACTTGCCGATCAGAAGTTTGGCGGTTCGAATCCCCGCGACGGGGTGAGCTCCCGTTGCTCGGTCCCAGCTCCTGCCAACCTAGCAGTTCGAAAGCACATCAAAGTGCAAGTAGATAAATAGGTACCATTCCGGCGGGAAGGTAAACAGCGTTTCCGTGCGCTGTCCTGGTTCGCCAGAAGCGGCTTAGTCATGCTGGCCACATGACCCGGAAGCTGTATGCCGCCTTCCTCGGCCAATAAAGCGAGATGAGCAACCCCAGAGTCGGCCACGACTGGACCTAGTGGGCAGGGGTCCCTTTACCTTTACCTTACTGATGCATTTTATAACCCTGATTTTCTGCTCACTTGGCTCCCTGCTGCAGATGGCCACCTTCCAACTTGTGGAAGGAAACAAATGGGATAGGGATGGGCGCATGCTCCTCCCGCTTCCTCCTCCACAAAACATTAGTATAGTTGTTGTTTTTGGTTCTTCTGCAAGGAAAAGAACTGACGAGGTCAGTGATTTTTCCTACCTATCACTCTGACATCACGGGTGATGCGAAGCCCACTACGACTAATGAAACATTCCCAGGTCCCTTGGTCCTCCTGAGTTTTAAGGTCGTTTATCTGCAGCCTCCGATCTTTATTTTGTAGAGTCCATCGCGCTTTTTTATTTGTTATTTTTGACTTGTTGGGGCCAAACCACTCAACCTGGGTAGACATGTCCGAGGAAGACAGTTCCAGTTGTGTAGTGTCACCCTCCAGGAGGTATCCCTCTGAAGGTCCTTTTACTATGAAGGGGGGAGAAAGCCTTATTAGGTTAATTGTTTTTAGGGCTCTTCCCTGTCCTTCTCCCCAAGCAAGTGCAGGAAGATGGGACAGGGAAAAAGGAGTTGACATTAAACTTTTATTCTTTCTCCATATCACATCACTCACCGCTCCACAAGTTAAGATTAGTAGTTTTTATTTTCCCATGTGCTTCACATGTATACTGTCCTTCCTTTCCATATCTCATAGTTAAAGAGTAATCTCCTTTATCTGCATTCTTTAACGAGTATGTTGCTGATGATGAGGAGGAACCTTTGAAAGAAGTGGAGTCACAGAGAGTTAAAGCTTTTCATCAGAGAGCAAAGGTTCTGCCTTCCCTCTTTTAAACGCATAATGAATGGTACAACTGGATTTTTACCTCTTAAAAGATGTCCACGCTGATATTTAATTATTTCTTCTGATTTATATTTCCAGATCACTGGAGCGCTTGGGTTAACTACACCAACTTGGCAAGGAAGGGTAACTTCTTGCCCATAAGTAGCATCTATGTAATGCTCTTCACTCACATGAAGCATCACACCTGAAAGATACACAGGCTCAAAAAACACAAAAACAAAACCACATGGAAAAGCAAAAACAGGTCAACAGAATTCTCCCCTCCGCGCTGAATTCTGGGGTTTCCCGGCCCAAAGCTTACAATCTGAACACCACCTTTGGACTTTATAGCACCTTCATTTTCGTATATGCTTGCATTTGTGTTCTCTTTTTCTTAATACCTTTTATTTAAGTGTTTCTTTATGTCCCTCAAGTGTCACTGGAAAATGCATCAATTTGGATTTAATACTGAGAATTTGATCAACCCCCAGAATAAATAGGAGTACAAAGGACTGCCACAGTAATTCTAATTTCTGCAGGAGCTCTTACGTCTAGTTTTAAACCAAAGGATTGACCAGATTTGCGGCCAGCATGAAAACTTGCTTTTGAGTGCTGAAGTCAGCGTTACAGTAGATCAACGACTGTCAACCATATGGGTCACCCCAAGTCTCTGGAACCACAACAACTACTAAATCTGTTCCTGAAAATCTCTGCTATTTTTGCCTCCCTCCCAATTTGTTACCAAGAGAAGGCAGCCTTCTGTGAGCAGGAGATATTGATCCCAGCAATCCGGTGCAATATAGTAAAAGGGTGTGCAGGTCTTTTTTGTAGTAACAATGTAGAGCAACAGTAAGAACACAGTATGGGCCATGGCAAGGGGGGAAATGGGTCATATGGAAATGGATCCTATGTGGACCAACACAGCTAGCTTGCTTTGCTTTTTCAGCTTTCATTATATTTCTAGTCAAAGCAAAACATCTGTGTTGGTGACTCTGGCACTATGTGTGCCTGCTGAAGAGAACTTACCCAGGTGAAGGACAAAGGAAACAAGAATGCATCTCAAGATCATATCCATCGGTAGAGCTTTGCGTACTGCAGACTCGGTCTTCTGTCTAAGGGATCCTAGCAGGGAAAGGTCAGAAATCTTGTAGAAGAAGAAGAAGAGTTTGGATTTGATATCCCCTAAGGAGTCTCAAAGCGGCTAACAATCTCCTTTTCCCTTCCTCCCCCACAACAAACACTCTGTGAGGTGAGTGGGGCTGAGAGACTTCAGAGAAGTGTGACTGGTCCAAGGTCACCCAGCAGCTGCATGTGGAGGAGCGGGGAAGCGAACCCGGTTCACCAGATTACGAGTCCACTGCTCTTAACCACTACACCACACTGGCTCTCCTGATTGTATCAGTGAAGTCAGCAGTGGTTTCTTCCCTGAATATATCATACATAATATATAGACAGAAAATAGTCAACTGATTGATAATATGGCCTGGTGTGCAGTTAGTCATTTGGAAGCTGGTCCTCTCTATCAGGTAGTCATTATAGGTGATGTGTGGCTGCCAGTGATATCTGTTCAGCAAAGTAACTAGGGTGGTGCAACTGGTGTCCCAACACCAGCTGCAAGATTATGGTGGAGGTGCAAGATTTGCTGCCGCCAACAGAATAAATTATAATTTAAATATAATTTTCATACTTATTTCATTATGGGGGGGGGACCCAGAATTACCCACATGTAATTAATAAAACCATTCCAAATAGTGAAACTAGACAGAGGGCCTTCTCGGTAGTGGCGCCCGCCCTGTGGAATGCCCTCCCATCAGATGTCAAGGAAATAAGACATCTGAAGACAGCCCTATTTAGGGAAGTTTTTAATATTTAATGTGGCATTGTTTTTAACACTCGATTGGGAGACGCCCAGAGTGGCTGGGGGAACTCAGCCAGATGGGTGGGGTATAAATTATTATTATTATTAATCCCATTTGGGTAATTTTGATTTTTTGATAGTGAAATAAATATGAATGGAATCTTTAAATGTATGAAATTTGTTCACGGTTCTAATGGGACCCCTTTTTGCTTCCTATTGTTCTAAATTATCATCCCTACGCTTCACTGGACCACAGATGCAAGGAATGGTTGTGAGACTCTGTTGCCTTGCTGCCATATTTCATATTGAGGGCTATTTTGTCTTATTTTTAAAAACCAAGATACTCGGAAAATGAACTGATCAGATTGTGTATAGTGGAACAGTCTTGCTCATCCTCCCAAAACTCCTCGATAAGCTAATAGTAAATTATTACTGAGAAAATGTGGACCTGATCCAGAGGCCTTTTGGCTGCCAAAATCCAACTTAAGCATTGCAATATTAAAGCGTAGCTCTAAAATCTGCTTTCAGAAGAGAACCTGGATGCCATTACTTTATCCAGTTGTTCCAATACATTCCCCACCTTAAAATCATACCATGGGGAAGAGAAATACTTAGCAGAGCTAACTTCTTTTTCTTTGCCAAGCACTTACAGCCCTGTATTTTCAGACTATGAAATCTAATTTTCTGGAAGGGAGATTTAAGAAAATCCCTAGAGATCAGCACTTTTGCATATGCAGCAACCCCTGGGTAGAGGACACAACACACAATATAAGGTAAACTGTATATGTAATACCTAGGCAAAAATATTTAGAGAAATATTTAGCATTAGCCACATGGTGAGCTGGTTGTCTGCAATCTGTAGCAGGTGATGTTGAGCGGAGGAAGGCGCTCCCCTGAGCTAGAGTCATAGAATAATAAAAATGTAGAGTTGGAAGGGACCCGAGGGTCATCTAGTCCATCCCCCTGCAATACAGGAATCATTTACCCAACATGTGGCTCGAACTCACAACCCTGAGATTAAGAGTCTCATGCCCTACCCACCGAGCTATCCTACACATAAATTAAATTCCACAAACAACCTCCTCCGCCCCATCTAAAAAAAAGAGAAAACTAACTTTTAACTTGCTTTTTAAATTTCTGATTTGGCACTACTTGGTTACTTTAAAACAGATACAGTGGTACCTCAGGTTACAAACACTTTGGGTTACAGACTCCGCTCACCTGGAAGTAGTACCTTGGGTTAAGAACTTTACCTCAGGATGAGAACAGAAATCATGTGGCGGCAGCAGGAAGCCCCATTAGCTAAAGTGGTACCTCAGGTTAAGAACGGTTTCAGGTTAAGAACGGACCTCTGGAACAAATTAAGTTCGTAACCAGAGATACCACTGTATAAAAGGTAAAGGGACCCCTGACCATTAGGTCCAGTCGTGACCGACTCTGGGGTTGCAGCTCTCATCTCGTTTTACTGGCCAAGGGAGCCGGCTTACAGCTTCCGGGTCATGTGGCCAGCATGACTAAGCCACTTCTGGCAAACCAGAGCAGCGCACGGAAACGCTGTTTACCTTCCCACCGGAGCGGTACCTATTTATCTACTTGCATTGGTGTGCTTTCAAACTGCTAGGTTGGCAGGAGCAGGGACTGAACAATGGGAGCTCACCCCATCGCGGGGATTTGAACCACCGACCTAGGCTCGAATCCCCGTGACGGGGTGAGCTCCCGTTGTTCAGTCCCTGCTCCTGCCCAACCTAGCAGTTCAAAAGCACGTCAAAGTGCAAGTAGATAAATAGGTACTGCTCCGGCAGGAAGGTAAATGGCGTTTCCATGCGCTGCTCTGGTTTGCCAGAAGCGGCTTAGTCATGCTGGCCACATGACCCGGAAGCTGTATGCCGGCTCCCTTGGCCAGTAAAGCGAGATGAGCGCTGCAACCCTAGAGTCGGTCACAACTGGACCTAATGGTCAGGGGTCCCTTTACCTTTATGTAGGTGCAGTAATAGGAAACTATGCAACCTTGAAGTCACAGAGCTCAATCATGTTGAATTGCTGATGAGTGTTAAGATCTCAGCAAGACAGACCATACGAAACTTCCTTAGTTGGATAAATAACTTATCATCCTGAAAATTTAGAATAGGTCTTCCTGCCCTTCATCCTTTGTCCAGATAGTAAAATTGCCTTCGAATGATACTCTGCTGCATGGCAGGCTGTGCCAACAGTCTCTTTGAAAGGTGAAGGTTAGCTTTTAAAAGCTTATTTTGATTTTCCTTGAGTATAGCGTAAAAGTTTGGCACATTTCCCCAGAGGAAGTATTAATCTACCTATGCACAATTTTGAAAGTTCAATATGTGAGAAACCAGCATGGGTGAGGAATAAAACATGAACGGTGTTGAAAAAGAAAGTCACATGTACTTTGTATGTATTTCCCCCCTATGAGGAAATGCTGCCACATAAGGAGATTTTTAGTTCAGAAAACAGGTAGAGGACATGGCAAGAGATTATGCATGGGTGGAGAAGGGGAATAGAGAAAACTGTTTTCCCCTCTCCCATAATACTATCACCATCTAATGAAGCTGGATGTTGGAAGTTTCTGGACAGAGAAAAGGAAGTACTTCTATATACAGCATGTTACACTATGGAAATTCACTCTCACAAGAGTCAATAATAGCCTTCAATGTGGGCAGCTTTAAAAGAGGATTAGACAAATTCCTGGAGGATAAGACTATCAATGACTACTAGCCACGCTGGATATGTTCTGTCCCCACTGTTGGAAGCACATTTCCAAACACAATTCAAAGGGTTGGGTCTGACCTTTAAAGCCCTAAATGGCCTCAGCCCTGTATATCTGAAGGAACGTCTCCACCCCCATCGTTCTGCTCGGACACTGAGATCCAGCTCCGAGGGCCTTCTGGCGGTTCCCTCACTGCGAGAAGTGAGAGAAGTGAGATTACAGGGAACCACGCAGAGGACCTTCTTGGTAGTTGCACCCATAGGGAAGTTTTTAATGTTTGATTTTTTACTGTGCTTAATGTTTTTAATTTGTTGGAAGCTGTCCAGAGTGGCTGGGGCAACCCAGCCAGATGGGCGTCCAAACAAACAAACAAACAAACAAACAAACAAACATAGCAGTAAGCCTCTGAATACCTGTTGTTGGGAAGCACAAGTGGGAAGAGTGCTGTTGCACTCAGGTCCGGTTTGCAGGCTTCCCATCAGCATGTTTTTTTTTTTGTTTTTTAAATTTTTAAATTAAATTTTATTTCCAATATATACTCTTTTAAAATCACATATTCACCAAAGAATAAAAAAGAAACACACAAAAAAATAAACAAATATAGACATTAAGACATCAAAACATAAATACATTTCTCCATAAGTATTGGTTATCGTTTCGTCGCTCTGACTTCCCTCCACCACGATGTGAGCTATATCACCTTAGAAACCATCTTGCAGTTCCTTCTTTCAACCTTTATCTTTACTTCACAGATTCTATAGTTCACCTACTGTTATTTTAATGTTACCTAAGTTTTTTTCCATGTATGTTACAAGTTTATTCCAATCGTTAATAAAAGTTTTATTACTCTGATGCCTGATCTTCTGTGTCATTATTGCTAACTCTGAGTACTCAAATAGCTTGCTTTGCCACTCACTAATAGTTGGGGTTTTAGATGATTTCCAGTTCTGTGCCAGTAATATTCTGGCTGCTGCCGTTGCATACTGGAACATGGTTTGGTCTTCTTTCCTAATCTCCTCACCGATCATTCCCAGAAGAAAAGCTTCTGGTTTTTTTGGAAATGTGTATTTCAGAATCTTTTTCAGCTCGTCATAAATAGAACCCCAGAACTTCCTTACTTCTTCGCATGCCCACCACATATGATGGAAGTCGCCCTCTTTTTTTTTACATTTCCAACATCTTTTGTCTCCAGTTTTATACATTTTTCCTAGCTTAACGGGGGTAATATGCCAGCGATACATCATTTTTTCTATGTTTTCTCGGAGGCTAACGCATGCTGTAAATTTTATATCCTTGGTCCAAAGTTTCACCCATCTCTCATATTCTAAGCTGTATCCCAAATCTATGGCCCACTTTATCATGACCTCCTTCACCTCCTCATCCTTAGTCTCCCAATCCAGTAATTGATTATACATTTTGGATAAAAGCTTACTTTTCCCTTCTAATATTTCCACCTGGAATTTGGATTTTTTCTCGTTCATCCCTATTTTTTTGTGTTCATTCCATAGGGCGTTAATTTGGTGAACTTGTAGCCACCCTATTGACTTGTCCTTTAATTCC